TTGGAGGGGAAACAACTATTAGTGAGATGATTGATAAAGTTTGAATGTGGATTGAGTATAAAATAATGTGAAGAGGTCAAATTTGGGGGGTATAATAATGGTGTTGTTATATTGGACAGTGTTCTTCTTCTTAGGTAATCCATGCAGAAGTATTTAGGGATGATTCACATGATTAAATCACTGATGTCCACAACTTACTTTCAAATGATTCTACAAAAATAGAAATAATGAATAGGTATATACGTATACATGTGTGTGTGTACAAAATGTTAGAAATTGGTTCTAGATGAGGAGTATGCAAGTGCTTATTGTCTTTCTGTAGATTTGATTTTTTTTAAATGAAAAAGAGAAAGGAATGCACTTTATTTAAATACTGGATTGAAACCACATGATGACAGAAGTAGTCTGTTAGGATTCAAGTCATTATTATATTCTGATGGAAAAAGAGCAGGCCAAGAGATTTTCTAAAATAGAAAAAAAAGAAAGGAGAACTTAATGTAAGTTTTAACTGTAAAAGTAAAGGGATTAAAGGAAATAATGTTAAAAAGCACTAGCATGATGCTGCAGGGGAGGCAGAACTTGACCTCTGACCTCTTAGGGTCACTGGCTGAGAATTAGATTGACATGAGTGAACAGGAGAAAAGCAGGCAGGTTTATACATGTACATGTGAGCCCCCAGAAGAAAAGACCCAAAGAATTGGCTGGGGCTAAGTGTTTATATACTAGGTCGAACAAAGAAAGGCAATTGTGGAAAAGTAGCAAAAATACATGGAGAGACCAAAAGAAGATACGACTTACTTTAACAAGGTCTGAACAGATTCTCTTGGCCTGACTCCCTATCTCTGGGGATAAGAATGTTCCCTCCTGGTATAGGGAGGGCATCTTTTACATGAGTTTTATCTCCTTTCCAGAAGAAAAGGGGAAGTTAGAGCACTTTTCTTGTACCTGTAGGGTATTTTTTTAAGTGCCTTTACCTCAAAATAATCCCTGTGCTAAAGTGGCATATTTTGGAGTGGCATGTCCTGCCACCCTTCAGTGCTCAGTACAACATATTAATGTTGCTCGATGAATGTTCATGAGTATGTGTATCTGTGTGGACATACATACACACACATACACACACACACACACTTAGATTGGGCATCTTTTGAGCCTCCACCATAACCAAGAGGTGAACCCTAATTTGAGCTCAGGTTTCATCTGGCACCCGAGTTCCTGCTCCCCTCCACCCCCTTGGCCACGCAGCCCCTGCCTGTTCTTTCTGTAGGGCACGGCTCCGTAACATCCTGAGAAAGAACATTTTCTGCATGAGACTATTCGAGTGATCAACTCTACAGAATATTTATAATTAAAAGAAAAATAGAGCAAAGATGTTTTTCTATTGTGAAAGATCTACTCTTTGCCTCCATCAGAAGAAAATAATGCCCATTTCCAAACTCTTCTCCAGCTGTGTATACCCTGGCCCACGAAGCTGCTTTGTCTTAGGTAAACACAGCACAGCCCGTAGAAATCAAAGCAAGATTGCCGTGTAAGTGTAGAACTAATCTCAAATTGTTGGATGGAATTGGAAAATGGAACAGTTGAGCATGCCAGCTATAAAAAGCAGTGAAACATAAACAAAAGCTATGATTCCTGACTCTGCCACAAGTAGGCGTTGGCAGATTTTTTTTCAGGGCAAGGAGTTCTATTTCCAAGAGCAGCATGTTGCCTGATGCAGCTGTTTTTTTTTTCCTTTGTGTTTTTAAAAAGAGAATTTTATAGCCGTCTGCAGCTATCTTAGTCTTTTGTTTAAAACATTTTTTTTTTCCTTCTCCTTAGTACTAAAAATATCTCCTTTCTGTGGAGAAAAAGAATGCTGGTCTTCTAAGGCTCCAGGTACCCTTTTCAGAATATCCCAGTACGCAATACCTCCGTACGGAATAATTCCAGGTGCATCTTTCTATTTGAGTCTCACAACACTGGAGTTGGTTATGGCAGGGATGTTTTTTATCCTGGTTTTGCAGATGAGGACCTTGAGCTCTAATGATAGTAAAAGGTGATGAAAGCTTATAACATACCAGGTCCTGGATATGAGCCAAGGCTCCCCCCCACCACCAAAAAAAAAAAATATTGAGTGCTGGGCCAGAGGGCTTAGGGCTGGTTTGCAATACGGCTGGGATGTGAAGCAAGATAGAGGGACTCAGAGCCTATGCCCTGATCAGCTGTTCTCTCCATCTGCCCTCTGTTACGCAAAAGGGCCCATGGTCATGCAGCAGGCACAAGGGAGTGTGGATGTTTCAGTGTCCTCATCTTGCTGTCTTTTGGCTGCAGCCCATTCCCTACAGAGTCTCACATTTACGACATTGCCATTCAGGTTCATGGTGTCTTTCTTTAGACAGCTCAGTAACCTTCCCACGCCCATTCTCATTCATAAGACCACAACAGCAACGACTGCCTCACTAGGTTGTTCCGAGAGTTTGATTTAGTGCCATCTAGTAGACCTTTGATAAATAATAGCTTTATTTCCAATATGGATGCAGTTTAGCTTCAGAGTAGCCATGTTGGAACTGAACTCACTATAGGAGGTTGTTTGGTAGCTTTCAACCTTGGTTCCAGAGAAGGGCTTCCTTGAGTTCTTTAGTAAGAGCATGATCGTGATGAGCATGTTTTATTTTGTTACCTCAGGCTTTATCCCTAAAAAACAATTGAGAAAGATTTCTTACTCTCTAATCCAGTTCCGAGTTAGTTTAGGAGTCAACGGCAGGAGTGCTGGGTTTGAATCTTAATTTCTTGGGTTCTTGTTTGTATGTGTAGTTTAGGAACTTTCAGCACCTAGTTTTTTGTACAAGTAATTAAGGGAAAGGCAAGTAGACTATGTTCATCTAACAGTTTGAAGATAAAAATCTTATGATGATGAATTCATTATATATGGGCATGTTTGAGCTCTCTGGAAGAACCATTCAAAATATAATAAAACTATTAATGAGAAAAGAACAGGACTGAAATTAACTGTAGGACAGCTCACAGGAAAGAAGACTCACTATTCAAAATGTGCAAGTCCTAGTTAAAGTCAGTTGGGAACAACACACTTCATCTTCTTAGACCACTGTGTCTCTTTATTAGTTCCCTACCCCTGCCCCCCAATAGTTACATTGACTTCTGTCATTGGGATAATTTCACTGAAAAACCAGAAGCTATTTCTATAAACCTACAAGTTTCCTAGTAGATTTCTCAATGTTTTTTCTCAAACAGTGAAGCTCAGAGCTGGAAGAAACCTTCAGGATCATGGGGTTCTACTCTTTTATCCTATGCCTGTGAACATTAAGGCCAGAGAGAAAGTTACTTGCTCAGTGCACTTGCTGTGAGCAGGGACTGGATCCCATCCAGCCTGGTGCTATTTGTGCAACACCAGCTCCCACCCCATCGTACATCAGCCTCTGCTAGTCTGTATTTCCAACCACAGCCGGCAGTGGGACGGTTTTGTCTCCAGTTCTTTGTGTAGAGTTAAACAGGACTGTTGTCTACTCTGTAGAAATTTGACATTCACGCTATCAAAGAAAACGGCACATGAGCTTCTTGAGTCTGTATCTGGTTCAGTACTCAGCGATTTCCTAATATTAGTGTTACGGTAAGGATGTATGTGTGTATCGCTCCTGTCTTTGTGCTCCCTTAACTCACTACTGATGTCATTTGTCACTTCCTTCTCTGTGACCCAACACGTGCTCGTTTTTGTCTGAACTAACCACCCTCTATTACTGACATAGGTCCGAGCCTTGTATGTATCACAGGGTGACTCAGGGTAGGACAAAGGAAACCCCCTCCCTCCACTGTGAGTCCCAGTCACTGCCTAGCACCCACTTGACCTCGTGCCGGCACTCAAAAGTTGAGAGCAGCAGTTTGCTGTCTCCAACATCTCCTACGTTTTCAACCCCTGGCGTCACTAGCAGCATTAGACCAGCAGGGGGCGCAGTGAGTGCAAGCACCAAAGCCAGTGTATTTTTGTATTCTCTAAAATCCGAGACAAGTGAGATGTTTTCTTATTACATAACACCTTTGAAAATATATATAGAAGTTGCCAGATTTGTTTTTAATTAATTAGTATATTTGTAATTATACAGGCAAAACACAAATGCGTTCTCATTTGTAGAAAATGCATACGATACAATACAGAGTGAAAGTTCCCTCTTCCCTGTCTCCCTCCCTGGAGGTAACTGTTTTCAGTTTGTGTCTTTTTCCAGGCTTCTTTCTCTGTGCACTAAAAACTTACAGCGTTCCTCGAAATAGAAATATTTTTGCATAAACGGGATCACACAGTATTATTTGACAACTTATTTTTTCCACTTAATACGTGTAGACATCTCTGTGTATGTGTGTGTATTTGTGTGTGGGTGTACACATATTTGCATTGTCTCATTTGGATTCCATTGAATGGATATTCTATGGCTTATTTAGTGATTTTCCTATGGAGACTTTTAGTTGTTTTTCAATTCCCCACTATTACAGTGGAATCCTTGTGATTATGTGTGTTTCTCTAGTATAGATACTTAGCTGGGAAGATATATATATATATATATATATATATATATATATATATATTTAATTATTGATATTTAGAAAGACATTAAAAAGAGACTAGAAGGATGTCCTATGATGCAAGGGTTCACGGTCAGTAATAAGAGGACTGTGGTCTGGCTGTCCTAGAAGGACCATGCTGGTGCATGGACACACAGCTATGTCTACTTACCTCACAGCTGCATTCAGCACAGTAGCTCGTTTGACTCAAAGTCAGAACCCCCAGGGTACTGACATCCCAGTGTCTGCTGAGAAGGAAACGTCTGTATTTGTTATCAAATGCAATGGTGTGACCACTGCAGGCAGCCAGTAAAATGAAAAGGGGATTGGAGCGAGCAGGCGTGCGGGATTCTGATTGGCAGGTCTGTCCAGAGCTGCGCATGGGAGGCAGCGGGCTGCGGGGAGTGGTTTCGGTTCCGCCTGGATGATGTAGTCTCTTGTTTTTGCAGTTGGCCGCCCAATCCCTGTTCGGCAGACTCTGCACCCGACCTTGGAGCAGATTGATGAGCTGCATCAGACCTACATGGAGGAGCTAAGGAAATTATTTGAGGAGCACAAAGGGAAGTATGGTATTCCAGAGCACAAAACTCTCATTTTTAAATGACTTTACTCTTACAAGGCATAAAGGAAGACAAGAGAACATCTTATAAGAGAATAAATACTTTAAATCAGTTTATTGTTTTTCTTTTGACTATGGAATCAGATTTGTAACTGAAAAGCATTATTTATGGTGATAGCTGTTGATGTTTTATTTGTCGTAAGTAAAAATACAGTACATGACTATAGGATAAGGTTGGAAATGACTATGAGACCTTTAAGAACTCTTCCTTGCTTGGGAAGGCTAAATCATTTTACAGGTTATGAAGAGAGAATGATTCATGTGCTCTAAAAAAAATGACAGCTTCAAAAAATAATTAGACTCTTTTTATTAAAGATCACAATAACTTAAGGTGCTGTTTTCATGAAATATTAAAGCTATCGTTCAGCACAGCTGGAACGTTTAGGAGACAGTGTAAAACAATTTGCCATAGAGAGCTACAGGAGATAATCTTTTTTTCTGCTTGAACAGGCCATTTGTTAGTGAATAATGTTACTTTTAATATTTAGATGACTTGACCCTTTTGATCATGTCAACCAACGCATTTTTTTTACAGTAGTGCCCAATTTTTATGACATTTTCGAAATAGGATGAATCTGCCATGTGGAAACCCAAGTGGACAAGAGCATGTCTCTCATTTCTGTTCATGATTAGAAACACGTTCATACGCTATAGACAAGGAAGTTTATTTGGAAGACATGCTTTTGCACATGTTTTAGGATGTTGGACATTCCAAAAGGTTTTCATGATAATAGAAATAGTTTTAATTTTCTTTCCAAATGGCCTTTTCATTATAAAACAGGCTCTGAAGGAAAGAACCCTCTCTGGTGAGATGTATCCACTTCACATTTGGCTGGGGTTATGAGTCTTTTCTGAGCCAGAATGGGCAGAGATCTCGTCCTTCCTGTTCACTGATATCTCCCCACTGCCTGGGTCAGTCGGCCCACAGCACTTAGTAGGCACAAAATAAGTACTTGCTTAATAAATGTATTTATAGTTGAATATACAGACAGACTTTGCCATAAAGTGAAGAATGTTTCAAGCTGTTCTATACGATGAAACCTGTTATAAGACAAGCCCTACTTTCAAAAGGAGATAATATGCTATGACTGAATGTCCTACACCAGTAATTAACATGTTATACTGTAGGATGGTTCTTAGGGAGGAGGTCAGAAGGAGTTTTCTGATTGTTTGTCACCAAGTGTTAAGTAACTAGTCAATTAGGTGTTTGTGGGCAACTTCACTGAGTTGCCTTCTAACTTGTTGATAGTATGTCTTCAGGCTTCTAATTTTTAAACATTACACTCTGGACTAGACCCTGGATTGGGTTGAGTCATGGCAAAACAAAGACACAGCAAAAGTGAACATTCTCAATTGTTCAACGTGGCATCTCTTTGGCCTAAATTCCTTTGCTTTCACACTAGCTGAGTGAGCCAAGAGTCCATTAACCTGGGGGCTTGAAATTAGTTCAATTTTTTGTCAGAGCAGTGTCCTTCATTTACTATAAAACCCATGAATTTTATCCTTTTGGACAAGTTTATTAAAAGCCTGTGCCGCATAAGGAGGTATGACCATCCAATATCAGCTGTATTATCTAGTAGGCACTTAAAGGCCATGGTTAATAAAGCAGAGGCATTAAAATATGAGAAAATTTGCTCTCATGCACTTATGTTTTGCTATTAAAATGTCTATACATGAACAGCATTAATTTTGGCATACATAAAATGTTATTCTTCGGTACATATGGCAGAGGGTGAGGAGAGTGGGGTTATCTCTTAACATTTTATGATCTCTAGAGGTCTTAATCCAGCCATGCCAGAAGTCTTCTGATATTCTCAGAGCATAGTTGTAGGTTCCATATAGTCCCACAGATTGCAAATGAATTATTTTATATGAATTTTTGCTATCGCACAAACATGGGCCATATATTATATTTACTAGCATGGTTTGATGGAGATCTCTTTTATGATAAGAGTTCCCATCTACTATGTAATTGCACATAAATTTTAAACAGCAAAGCAAAACAATAATAACAGAAATAACCCTAGAACACTGTAAGAAAAACTAGCCTATTGCCTTGGGAAAATGTGCATGTACACTGTTTGATTTGGACAGTTTTCCCCCTCCGTTTCCATTGCACACTGGGTGCAAGCTGAGTCATTTCCTTTGTCTTGCGGCTGGAAGTGTATGAAATTGTTGGTGACCAGCTAAGTCTGTTATGCTCAAGTTGAAAGTTATAGCTTCAATGCTTATTTATGAAGGGCAGCCAGTTTTTCTCTTTACAAAGGGAAACCACAGTGAAGGATGCTAGATGTTTTAATGCAAATCCTTTTGCCACTACTGTGAAAACAATCAAAGTGTGTATATTTTAGGGATGATGGGTGAGCCTTTATTGTATGTATAGGATTAAAAGTGAAATCCCTGCTTTCAAATAGACGATACATTTCCATTACAGGAAGCACAGAGGTGGAATCTGTCCATAATTCTGCAACTTTACGTCTCTTTCAAACTACCTCACTGATGCAGACGACCAAAGTTTGTGATAAATATGAAAACAGTTTTGGGATACATTAACTCTATATTCTTTTCCTGTGACGAGAGACATTATTGATAGAATTTGTTCATTGGTTGCTTTTTTTCAATAGCCCAAGATGGCTACTTCTCATATTTGTGTTTCTTAACCTAAATGGCAAAATGTCTATTTGTGGGGCTGGAGGAGTTACTTCAAGTAGAATTTATAAATCTTTCCAAGGGAGAAAAACAGGGCACCTTCTAAAATAACCAACCAGTTGCTCTAGTTTCTCTAGGACATCACACACAGAACTAGTTCTTTGTATTTAAAAGAAAGGGATTTCTCTACCTTTTATTTTGATTGCTGTAGTTAATCCTTTACAAACACCGCCAGCTTATTGCCTTAATATCCTATATGAAAAGGAGAAAGTTTATCTCAGTCCACAGTTAACCCATAAGACCATGAGTTCCTCAGTAGCGAAGTCTGTGTCTTGCTTGCATTTGGATTCCAACCCCAACAAAGCAGGCCTGCGGCAGCCTCTCAGTATAATTCTAGCACTCTTGGGAGGCAGACGTGGGTGGATCACTCGAGATCAGGAGTTCAAAACCAGCTTGACCAAGAATGAGACCCTGTCTCTACTAAAAATAGAAAGAAATTAATTGGCCAACTAATATATATATATAAATTTAAAAAAATAGTGACTCTGTGTTTGTATTCCTCTGCCCTAAATTAAGCAGGAGGTACCGCTAGTCCATAATCGTGGATTAATAAACCTAAGAATCCTCCTGTAAAACAGAGGTGTCAAAAAAGTAGAGTATGATTAAAATTCTGCTTCAAATGAGGGATTAAACAACTCTGAAGCAAGCTCTGTCTTATCGGTATTGAGAACATTTTTGCTTTTTGAGGCCGGGCTACCGCATTGTTGATTTTTCCCTTGTGCCAGAGTTATTTTGGTGATGTGTCCTGGGCAAAGTCCAGGTTTTCAACAAGTTTAGCCACTAGAGTCTCATGTATCGGAGTGGTGGGGGAGGCAGGTGCCTTATGCCCAGGGCGACTGACACACCTGGCAAAGGATCTTCCCTACCAGTTGTGTGATCAGGAGCGCAGGCCTGAGCAGCCCCGTCACTCACACACAGGTGGCCTAGAGCTTCCATCACCTTTTGATGCCCCTAAGTGCGAGAGAGACCACTCTGGCTCCAGCCTCATCCAGCTGGGTTGTCACAGCTGCTTTTTTTTTTTTAGCACTTAGATTCTGGTTAAGAATTATCTGAGGCTCTCTTGGGAACAAAGATAAACCTGATATTCCTTGTATTCCCAAAGACCGCATACTTCTCTCTGACTCCATTACCAGACCAGCTTGCAACCTTAGTGGATCTTTCTGGTTGGACTCTAGACCCTGCAGTGTGGATGTGCAGTGATGTTGGGACGAGCAGGGAATGTTAGATGCACCACTCTTTTCTATTCTCAAGGCTTTTTTTTTTTTTTTTTTGAGATGGGGCCTTGCTCTGTCATGCAGTGGCACAATCATAGCTGACTGCAGCCTTGAACTCCTGGGCTCAAGCGATGCTCCTGCCTCAGCCTCCCCAGTAGCTGGGACTACAGGCACACGCCATGATGCCTGGCTAACTTTTTAAAAATTTTATGTAGATATGGGGGTCTCCATATGTTGTACAGGCTAGTCTCCAACTCTTGGCCTCAAGAGATCTTCCTGTTTAGCTCCCTAGAGTGCTGGGATTACAGGTGTGAACCACAAGCCTGCCCAGGCTTTTAGTTTTTAGATAGTCCTTTAGCCTCTGGTCTTCTACTAACTGGCTAGGTGATCTGGGCTTAGTTTCTTTCCATGTAAACACAGTTAGGAGTGAATGATCTCCAAGGTCCCTTCTGCCTCTGTCTCATGGTCTCTGCTTGGCCTTTTATCTGTCATGGCAACAGCATCTAATTGGAGGTGTACATTTATCGGATAACTGCCTATTCCTCTACCATCCTCACTTGGTTCTATCCATCCAGGAAATGCAGTGAGCTGAAATGGTTGTCTCATTTTCTTGGTATATATAAAACACAAATTGCTATTGGAATTTCTCCAGGATAACAATGACCTTTAGTCATGTGTTTCTAAGAAATAATGTAATTCTCTAAATAAAAATAATACAAATTTATCTAAGAAGCTTCCTCATTTATATCATTCAAAACTATGGAATAACACAGTTTATTACTTGTTAATATCTTTACAGGAGATGGTGAATTTTTATATTTTCCATAGAGTATTTGTTGCTGTGTGTTTCTTAAGAGCTCTCAGTTTGTAAAAGTTTTGATGAATAAATGTGTTTTCATGCTTGAATAATAATGTGTGGGTGTGGTTTTTAACCTGGATAGAATGTTTTTCATTTCCCCATATCTTGGCAAGGATGAATATCAGCCAGGGAATTGCAGTGAAATCATGAGCATTGCAAATTGCCCTCCTGAAGAGTCAGGACTTTCAATTCTCTTGATGGGATAAAAGGCAAAACAGAAAGCAGGGGCGGGACTAACTGAAAACTGCAGGTGGACAGGAATGAAAGAACAAGGGACAGCAAGAGGAAACAGACGATAGCAAACTGCCATGTCTCACATGGGTATAACAACAGCAAGGCTTCTCTGATTGAGATATGTTCAAAAACTGGTGGTAAAGTTTATAGATAACAAATCATGTCAATCAGTGCTAATGGTAGGGGGTTTCTTCTTGGGCAGTGAAAAATGTTCTGATATTAATCGTGGTGATGGTTGCACAATGCTGTGAATATACTACAAGTCCCTGAACACTAACTACCTTTCTAATGGTTGAATGTTATGATACATGAATTGTGTCTTAATGAAGCTGTTGAAACAAATCAGGTCAGTCACACACTTGTCAAAATAATGGAAAAGGCTGGGTGTGGTGGCTCACGCCTGTAATTCTAGCACTTTGGGAGGCTGAGGCAAGAGGATTGCTAAGGTCAGGAGTTTGAGACCAGCCTGAGCAAGAGTGAGACCTCATCTCTACTAAAACTAGAAAGAAATTAATTGGCCAACTAATATATATAGAAAAAATTAGCCGGGCATGGTGGCACATGCCTGTAGTCCCAGCTACTCGGGAGGCTGAGGCAGAAGGATGCTTGAGCCCAGGAGTTTGAGGTTGCTGTGAGCTAGGCTGACCCACAGCACTCTAGCCCGGACAACAGAGAGAGACTCTGTCTCAAAAAAAAAAAAAGGAAAAACTAAAAGAAAATTCCTTTTCTTTACGTGTCAAGGTTGAAATCGCTGCAACAAAGCTTATGCTTTGTTTTTGAGACCTTTTAATGCTTTCCACTGTTCATTATCAAATAAGTGATTTCGATACTCTTTTAACATTTTTCTTTTTTTTTTAGAGATGAGATCTTGCTATGTTGCCCAGGCTGGTCTCGAATTCCTGGGCTCAAGCGATCCACCTGCCTCAGCTTCCCAAAGTCCTGGGATTATAGGCAGGAGCCACTGTGCCTGGCTTCAATATTCTTTTTTTAAAGTATTTTATTGCATAAAGGACGTGCTGTTGTATTATTGTGTAATATACTGCTTAACTTTAATTTTTCCCAGTATTTTATTAATATTGTAGCATAACAGTAAGTAGTATCATACAAAAACAATAGTCAGTATTTGTTGACCATCTACAATGTGCCAGATAGGGGACTAAATATGTACCTTATGATATTTAGCTCTTAAAATAGCCCTATGAGGTTGGTGCTATTTTTATTTTGTAGACTGGGGCTCAGAGGGTTAAGAACTTTGAGGCAGCCCTGACAGTGAGTGGTGGAGCTGAGGCATGAGGAGGCCGGGTCCTCTTGCCAGGGCCCATGCTCTGGGTGTAGGACTCACAGGCTGCAAGGGTCCTGAGTAATCACACACTAACTTGCTGTGTGATCCTGAGTAGATAACCACACACCCATCACCTATTAAAGGAGAGGGTGGGACAGGAATGCTAAGATTCTTTATGGGTCCATGTAGCTGTGATTTTATTTTAAAGCCATTTCTGTGCAGCCCTCTCTCCCTAAACCCAGTGGGCACAGCAGCCGTCCTCAGCGCTGAGAACAGCACCTGGAGACTGTTATGACCATCATTAAAAGGACAAAACAAAAAAAGTTTCGTAGACTAATATTTGTTGTCAAAGTTAAACATTTTAAAAGAACACCCATTTGATTAAAAGTCTTGATTTTTTTGCACCTGTTACTACAGTGCATAGAGCATTAGCTGGAGAAAGATTATTTTTCAAAACAGTATCGTTAAATTCATTTTATTTCTCATATTTGTATATATGTGTGTGCGTTTCTAAGTTCCTGTAAACATTTTTCTCCATAAGATGATTGCCACATGTTTCAAATTTAAGAAGAAACTTCTGTGTGACATTTTCCCTACCTTCTCTAATTCTCCAACAACATATTTAAAAATGCTAGATGGAAAGGAAATTTGATCTTTAGTTTGACCTGGCCTTGACATTTTATGTGATGCTGAAATAAAGGAATGCTGTGATTTATCTTAGATTGGTTGGTGATGTAAGAGCAGGATCATATAGGTTGTAAGTTCAAATTGACTTAACTTTAAAATAACACTGAACACATGAATATAGAATTTCCCATCATATCAAAGAACTACAGCACGATTTGCAGAAGGATTTATATGTTATATATAGTTATATGTATTATATATGTTCTTATAGATATAGGTGGAGACACATATGGAGATTACATATATATAAACTTATTGAAATAATACCCAAACAAAGGAAATTTTATCTTATTTATTTTTATTAGAGATAGGATCTCACTCTGTCACCCAGGCTGGAGTGCAGTGGCCTGATGAGAGCTCACTGTGAACTCACTGGACCTCCTGGGCTCAGGCGATCTTCCCACCTCAGCCTCCCAAAGTGCTGGCATCACCAGCATAGGCCATCATACCCGGCCCCAAAGCATACTTTAAAAAATTATTTAACAGGCCAGGCACGGTGGCTCACGCCTGTAATCCTAGCA